AGTAGCCTGCAGTGCTGCATTTAACCACTGCGCCACCTTGGCTCTTTCCTAATTTAAATCCTGTTTCCCTTTCCTAATTTAAATCCTACAAAATTTAGCAACTTTGTGCACCCGATGAAGTAGGTTACAGTTCACCAAAGCTGATGCCTATAAGAAAATTTCTAGTCATTAAAAAAAATGTTGCCAGACTCCTGATTTTTGGCTACCATATTCTACCCTGTTCATCTCCCCCTCCTACAATGTTGCCATCAAAGCAAGTATTTCTTTATACAAGCAGGAAGCAGCATCAAGACCCCAAATGAAATCCCAGTGGTTCCACTCGGGAAACTTCTTCTCGTGAATGAGATTCGTAATTCGATGTCGCAGTTGTGCAATTTCAGGGGGTTGGGAAGCCCAGTCCTGACCCCCACTCCACATGGCTATTGGGATGGTGATTGCTTCAATGTCGTACAGAGGAGGAGTTGTCTGTGTAAAAAAATTGAATAATGAAGTAATCATTCACATGTATTTAAATTCATGGTAATTAAATTAGTTTTTAATGCTTCTATGTTGCATGGAGGAATTGTCTGGGGGGAAATAAATAACATAGTAATCAACGAGACAATACCTTCACATACACGCTAATTCATGGTAATTGATATGGTAAATTAATCTGGAGACTTGGTTTTAAAAAAAAAACAAGGTGAGAAAGAAAATTAATTGATTAAAAATTCAATCCAATAGACATCTGCTTATTATTTATCTATTCCCTTAAGTCAAGCTCAACTTTCGGTGGTTTCTTGGATGCAGTATGTAAATATATTTGCGGATTTCCTTGCCACTTACCTTCTAAGAACAACCCACATTAATCCTGGTTAGCAATCTAAGATCAGTGACTTTTGCTTAAATACTCTTCTGGTAAAGTGAACTTTTATAGCAATACTGTGAGCTTGGCAGGCTGGATTGCTGCCGAGCCTTATCTGTGTTTATTGCTGCCTGAGTTTGTCTGAAGGTCCTTATCTGTTTGTTATGCTTGGCTTTCAGCCACCGAGGTTTTGGTGTTTTGCTAATTAAAGTACATTCCAGTTAAGCTTGTCTCGGCATTCGTTACTGGACGGAGGAGGGGGTCAGAACACAGAACCTAGAGGGGAGCAACTATGCCCCCCACCCCTTTGTGACTTGTGGACTTCAACTCCCAGAATTCCTGAGCCAGCCTGGGCCCAGGTCTGCGTTTCATAAAAACCCATCCCCTTAATAGGCCTTCGAGCGAT